CAGCATATCTCTTAACCCTTTTCTGTTTTCAGCATTTTTCCATTCAATTTTTATGGCTAATTAGTTAATTAATTACCATAGGTAAATCATCATATATATAATATGTATAGTCATCCAGAGACAGACTGTTTCATTGTATCACAGCTCATCAGTGTGGCTAGACATGTGATTGCTTCAAGCTGGGATCAAAACCCAACCAATTTGACATCATTTAGAGACTTGCCCTTAGGCCATCAGCACATGCTATGGAGAAAGGGAATTTTTAACACATTATATACAAGATATAAGCATTACTGACTACTAGAGGGCTCAATTCATAGTGAAGAGTTTTTAGCATTAATCAGCAGTAGCCGACAAATTCCCTTTCTTCCAAAGTGCTCAACCTATATATATTCATATATATAGTCATCCACAGACAAACTGTTTCACTGCATCACAGCTCATCAGTGTGACTAGATATACGATTGCTTCAAGCTGGGATCAAAACTCAACTGATTTGACATCAGTTGTATACTCTCACCCTTAGCCCATCAGTGCATGCTGAGGTATTATTTTGGTTAAACAAGCCAAGATTACAATTAAATGAAAAATAATAGGAAAAAAGAACACAAGCCTATAAAAACTTTATTATATTCAAAGGTAAGAAAACAAAATAAAATCATGCAATTATTACAATTGAGGAAGACAGTACAGTTACCATTAAAATTCAGTCAAAAATCTTCCTTTATATGATCTGTACAACCTGCGTCTTGTAAATGTTTTAGTGGAATAATTAGGATATGAAAATTCTGATTGTCTTTATACCAATGCAACTGGGAGTTATTGCAAGAAAATTATTAATGAAACAAATATATTTTACAAATGTATAATTTGAATTTATTGTATATAATTTTAGTGAAACAAAGTACTAATATTAAATTTGCTGAAATTAATATAATGAATATTATCAATGATAACACTTTTAATCTGCATAATAGCCTTTTAAATAATGACAATAGGTATATGAAAGTTACTCTAAAGTTTAAGCTAAGAGGAGTTGTCAGGTAGCTAATTTCGGCCGACTATCACAAATTTTAAACCTACATATGGCATATAAGACACGGGGATTTTAAAAGATATTTTTAGTAAAAAAAAAAAAAAAAATGTGCGTCTTATATGCTGTCAAATATGGTCTTTAGAATGTAGTAATTAGAAGAGAAATTAGAGCATATAATACAAATTAAGACTAATCTTATTGCAGCTTATCACTAATCTAGAGGAATTCATCACAAACCAGGATGGAGCACTAATTTTAAATTAGATATATGTAAATATGGATACAGAAATAAGGTTAAGTTTGATTTATGGGTAGAAGTGAAAACAGATGAGAGTGCTACCCATACTGCTAAATCCTTATACTGATATTATAGCTTGAAATCCTTATTACCAATTATCTTGACGAGTTTATCCCAACTGCATAAATAGGATCTCTCAAAATGTTAATTTAATTTTGAAAAAGTGAACTTGTTTAATTTTAAGGGCTCAAGGTTAAACTCTATCAAACATCTACACTAGTTGCTACATTAATGTTGTAGAGTAATTTTCACAGTGGAGGCTTGTATTTCATTGTCGGTCCTAAATTAGGTTCGACGTACAAAACGTTAGGAACTTGAAATAATAGTTAATGACGCAGCAATCTAGTTGTGGGGCTCATACTGACTGACTCACACAACTCACTGAGCATCACTGGCGACTGCTACTACTACTACTTATCTGTGGAAGAGTCTATTTACAATAGAAATAGGTACGTTAAAAAATTCTGAGATGAGGTATCGTAATTACTTACACTATTTACATTGTTTGGACTGTTGTCCTCATCTTCATTGCCATATTCATGTTGTTTCGGCTGTTGTACGCTCTGGCCTTCTTCAGGTGATTGAAATTTTGAAATGAACCCTTTATTTCGTCTACCGGGATAGACTGTTCTAGTTCCACGTGCCATGCCTTTTCCTGGATTCAATCAACACTTTTATTCACTGGGTCATGTGTCCTTGAGGACATAATTTAGTTGTTAAAGCAATAACCAGTGTAGATATTTGATGTACTTTTATCTTTGTTAATAGAGTTTATCAGAAATAGGTATTTATCCATATACTTAGTAAGAAATTTTTGTCACTGAGAATGGAATGAACAAAATCCAAGTCTCGAAATAACTAACAGCTTTTATTTGTGGTTGAAAGAAAGTGCAAAATAATGATATTTTACATGAAAAATGTGTTGGGTTTCCTAGTTAACAGAATTTTCATCTGAGTAGATGTTTTGTAGAGAGAGATTTCTTCGCTTGTTCCAACAAGGAACAAGAAATCTGAGTGTCAAACTGCTAAGACTGGTATGGGTCTTCTGCAGCATGGTTTATGAGTAGTTTTTCCTTTGTGTAGGTGTCTTGAGGGGACATTTCTCCACATATTACCACAAGGAACGAGAAATCTCAGGTCAAATGGTTGGACAGGACACTTGTCTTCTGCAGCAAGGTTTGTGAGTAGTTCTTCAAGCTGGCCTTGAAGGTAGTGGCTGCTGAAAGGGAAAAGTGGAAAAAGAGACCGAATAGGGCCGAGACCACTGAAATAGAAGGCCAATTCTGTGGAAGGTGAGAAACGTGTGATGTCACTATCTTGTTTCATATTGTTTCATATTCTACTATTTTTCACAGAGAGAAATTCCTCCGCTTTTTCCCACTAGAGGAACAAGAAATCTGAGTATGAAACTGCTAGGAATGGTACGAGTCTTCTGCAACAAGTTTAGTGTGTAGTTTTTCCTTTGGGTAGATGTCTTGAAAGGAGATTTCTCTTCCTGTTCCCATGGGAGGAATGAGAAATCTGAAGTCAAGCTGCCAGGACAAGCTTGTATCTTCTGCAGCAAGGGTTGAGAGTATCCCTTTGAGATGGGCCTTGAAGGTTGGAGCTGCTGAAAAGAAAAAGTGAAAAAGAAGTGGCCTTGAAATTAGAGGCTATTGAAAGAGAAAAGCAAAAAAAGAGACCAAATATCTATTAATTTATCTATTTCTGGGACATCTGATTGTACCCTGTTGATTGCATCCCTTGCTGCTACTGTGAAATCAAGCAAAGTAAGGAAGCCCTCACATGCCACAATAGCCAACAAGTGAAATAGTTTCTATAACTTACTTGAATAGAAAAAGACACAAGGCTGTGTTTAAATGGAAGTTTTAAAATTATTCAGACTCAACTCTAGCCTATTGGGATGCTTCAAGTGCCAAGAATTAACCCAGAACCCCTCATTTTATTGAGAGAGGTTCTGACTGTGGGGAATGGTTCCCTGGAGCTGAGCCTATTCTTTTAAACTTGGTTGCATTTTTAGAATGACCTGGTAAGTGTATTTAACTGCATATCTACATCAAGTGGAATTTGACACAAAGTAGAGTTTAAAGTGGGTTTGTAACAGTATAAAAATTACTCAAGTCCCCACGGGACTTCTTCTTTTGGTGATGTCTCAAACCCCTCATAATGACCCCCCCACCACCACCACCTGTCCATCTACCAAAATAGATGTAATGCCTTGGAAATGGCTCCCTGAGGCTTGAGCATATAATATTCATTTTGAAAGCCACACCCAGGACTGGCTGAGTCAGGTAAGTAGTTATAGGTAAGCATTATTTTCTAATCTCTACCTGTAAAAGGCAGGATGTGTGTGTGTGTGTGTGTGTGTGTGTGTGTGTGTGTGTGTAACGAATGCACAGCCGCAATTTTCCAAGGATTTGCACCAAAATTTACATGCACATGCTCCAAGTTAGCGGGAAGGCCAAGACTGACATTGCATTTCCCAACTCCCATCAATAGTGGAAATAATAGATTTTTTCATTGCTTCTGCAGCAGTTTTCATGTAGTTTGCAGCCATTTTCTACTGGCCAGAGTGAGAGTCTATAGCTGGCTGCCACGAAGAGGCATGAAGATTCTATTGGCCAGCATGAGAGCCAACAGCTGACTGACACAAATATTAACTAGCATGCTAAAAAAACGATAGCTGCATTCATCACAAGTAGGAAAAATTTAACTCTGCATGGCACTTTACTCCAGTTGGCTAATTCACTTGCTTAAACTCAATGTTGATTATGATTCCGCAGAACTGGGTTGGGTGTGAAAAAGTATTTGTTGTTAACATTCTTTTTTCGTTCGGTTTTTCCAGTTATGAGTCCTTTTTTTAAAGCTGATCGTTTTGTGTTCATTTTGTTTAGTTCTTTTTTCGTAACAGATTTAATGTTTAGTATAGAGCTTAGAAAAAATTTGCAGTGTGAGATAGGCAAGAAGTAAGGCATGTAGCAACATCAGCACGGTAAAGAGCACTCCTTTAAAGGCAAGGAAGAGCAAAAATATTTTAAGTCAAGTGATAGCGATTGCTGTATGATTTTTGAATCAAGCATGGGCAACGCCAGGGCATGCTGCTAGTTCTGTGTATAAAGGTGAGGTGGGTTGTCAAATTTGATTATAAGGTGACATATGTCCTAAAGTTACTAAAGAAGAAAAAATGACTTTAGAAATTTTTTTTTCTTCTGTAATAATGATTTGGTTAAAAAGAACAAGGAATTCATTTAGTATATAAATATGGCAAAATGGTATGTATTTTTATCTTTGCTGAAAGGTAAAATGATACTCAGAGAATCATTTATTTGACTTGTTGACTTTGTTGGCTAGTATCCATATCATATACCAGCTTGTTTTCAAGGCAAACCTACCATTTACTCCATTAGTTGAGAAAAACTTTCTATTCATCAAAAGTGTTGAATGATTGGGAGGGAGAAAATTATAAATACATTGGATGCAAATTCTTTCTTGAAGTCAAAAGAAAGAAAACATTTTATTGATAAGAGTTAATTAAGAAAGAATTTGACATAGAGTAAGAAAAAAAACATAAATCCATCATGCATAATAAAAAAAAATAGTGTTAATGGGTTCAAAACAATCAAGAAAATAAAGTTTACAAGTAGCTTATTTTTTGCATACATTAAGGGCATAGTACCACCATACACTATTTCATTATCTATCTGTTCATATCTATCTATCTATCTATCTATCTCAGTCTGTTCATATCTATCTATCTATCTATCTATCTATCTCAGTCTGTTCATATCTATCTATCTATCTATCTATCTATCTCAGTCTGTTCATATCTATCTATCTATCTATCTCAGTCTGTTCATATCTATCTATCTATCTATCTATCTCAGTCTGTTCATATCTATCTATCTATCTCAGTCTGTTCATATCTATCTATCTATCTATCTCAGTCTGTTCATATCTATCTATCTCATCTGTTCATATCTATCTCATATCTATCTGTTCTATCTATCTATCTCAGTCTGTTCATATCTATCTATCTATCTATCTCAGTCTGTTCATATCTATCTATCTATCTATCTCAGTCTGTTCATATCTATCTATCTATCTATCTCAGTCTGTTCATATCTTCTATCTATCTATCAGTCTGTTCATATCTATCTATCTATCTATCTCAGTCTGTTCATATCTATCTCAGTCTGTTCATATCTATCTATCTATCTATCTCAGTCTGTTCATATCTATCTCAGTCTGTTCATATCTATCTATCTCAGTCTGTTCATATCTATCTATCTCATCTATCTCATCTGTTCTATCTCATCTATCATATCTATCTATCTCAGTCTGTTCATATCTCTATCTCAGTCTGTTCATATCTATCTCATCTCTGTTCTGTTCATCTATCTATCTATCTCAGTCTGTTCATATCTATCTCAGTCTGTTCATATCTATCTATCTCAGTCTGTTCATATCTATCTATCTCAGTCTGTTCATATCTATCTATCTATCTATCTTGACACCACGTCTTGCAGCATTAAAATTTTCAAAATATGAAATAATATATTATACTCTGTATGACATCTGTCAGACTGTCAACCTTCATTTTCATATCTTGCAGTATTTAAATCTTCTGAAAATCAAATACTGTTAAATGCTTTGTGTCTCATCTAGTAGAATGTTAATCTTCATTTATAATCTGGCAGTATTTATTGTTTTAGTCAAACAGAATATATAATGCATTGTGTTAGATTTGGCACAATGCCTTCAAGCCACATCTGGTTTTATTTAACCATTAAAAAATCAGGCTGTATTTAATGCTTAGTTTCACATCTAGCAAAATGTCAACCTTCATGTCACACCTGCCAGTAGTTATACTTTCAATCAATATTTAATATTTGTGTTACACCATCAAGGTTTTTTTATGTGAAACTTGACAGTATTTAACCATCCAGACAATGAGGCAATATCTGCCAATATCTCAACCTCAATTCTACATCTGACATTATTTAAGCTTCCAGACAATGAGGCAATATCTGCCAATATCTCAACCTCCATTCTACAGCTGACACTATTGATATGAGGTGGTTAACCACCTCGGTATTGATTAGGGCTTTGAAGACTTTGCCAAAGAGGGGAAGGAGACTGATAGGATGGTAGTTGGAAGGGTCAGAGGGGTCACCAGAGTTCTTGAAGACAGGAACAATTGAAGAGGACTTCCAGCAGTCAGGAAAACAAGATTCCTTGAGGCAGTAGTTGTATAGTTTAGAAAGGGCGGGTGCCAATTCAGGCGCGCATTTCTTCAAGACAATGGGTGGTATCCCGTCACCACCACTAGCTTTGTTGGGGTCTAAATTGGAGATAACGCCCAATACCAAAGACGGGGTTATGTTTAACCCACTCAATATGGCCTCAGTTCTAAGAGGGAAGTCGGGTATGGGTACACCAGAAGAGTCGAGCGTCGAGTTGAATGAAAATTTCCGAGCAAAGCATTCAGCCTTGTCGGTAGAGGATGTCAGGACTCCGAACTGGTTGAATAAAGGAGGTATAGAGGGTTTGCAATTGTTCAATACACTCTTGCAGAGACACCAATAATCTTTGGAGCCAAATTTGCGAGATGCAATACGCTTCTTCATCCGAGCCGCAAATAGTGACTTAGCATCATTGAGGACACGCTTACACTCGTTACGGGCGGAGGCAAGGAAATGTCTATTGCAGTCAGACATGTCGCTGCGGAATAGGTGGAAGTAGTGATTTAAACTTTTGGACAATCTGGAATATTTGTGCCACAACTGACAGTATTTAACTGCAGAATCTGGTCTTTTCATGCATTGGTCATGACACTGCCAGAGATACATATATGTTATGAACAGATTTTTCTGAAGAAACATTTTTTCTATCTGTGGTAGTGTATTGTAGGACTCTTGTGTGAAACGAACATCAGCTTGGTCCTTGATTCAATATGATGGTTGATTTAAATTTCAAAATAATTCAAATGTCACGAAAACACATTTTTCAACCAATCAAATGCTTGAAATGACAAGAGAATAATGATTTTTGAGATTTTCAATAGATGTACAAGCTAAAGATTTTATTTTTTATCTATGTTAATCAGGATAACACACACACACACCCCACTGACCATATATGTCTCCCTACCCTCTCTATTTACAGACATAACCCTCTGTATTACACATACACAAATTTCATGGACAAGTTTAAAACTGAAAGAAGCAGAAATGTGGCTCTACAGAAGGATACTGAGAATTCTATGGATGGAGCAAGTAAGAAAAAAGAGGTATTAAAGAAAATGGTAAGAAAAAGAACATTTCTACTCAGAATCAGGAAAAGACAGCTGAAATTCCTTGGACAGATAATGAAGAAAGAAGGCTTGAAAAACTTAAAACTCACAAGGCATATTGAAGGCAAGAGAGGAAAGCAGTGAGCCACTTACCTGATGAGATTGTGTGGATTGATGGCGGAACAGATGGTAAGAGCCTTAGCAAAGGGAAGAAATCTGCTATGAGTCACATGAGATAGGAAGTTGTGAAGAGCGTTGATCGCTTATGTTCTGAAGGAACATGGTATGTAGAAGAAGCTATTTAACAACTATACCTTAAGAAACTGTTTTGCATACATGCATGAACAAGCTTTTGGTATCACTTGTCTTTTTTTATATATACCGAATGTAATAGCAAGATTATCCAATTGTTAGATTAACCTCTGAATCCTATCTTAGAAATAAATAAAGATATCTTACTGGAATTCTCCAAGGTTTTTAAAACTCTATGTTGAGCAATAAGAATGTATAATTACTCTCCAAGATTAACAGAAGAATTGTGATGAAATTGATCATAAACAAAAATGACATGTTCATCATTAATTAATCATAACTAAAGATTGAAAGCTCATTGTTACGGCTGGCGCAACACAAAAATAAGATGAAACAGATTCTTAGAAATTAAAGTTGAAAGAAAAGATTACAAGTAATAACAAAAAGTGGGTTTTATTTAACATATAATAAAATATTTTTTATAAACATTCGGGCTGAGGTTTAAACAATATAGATAGGAAATGCTAACAGTTAATAAGCGTGTGAGAGCCCAGAAAGTAGTTGGCTTAACGTGTAGTTATATGAGGGAGTTGTGATGAAAGACATGACTTACCTCAGAATTCGAAGCAAGCACGAAGTGTCTTGTCTGCAAAGTGATGACAAAAAGAAATATGGCCGATATTGAAGACACAATTTATGCGCACCTATCTCGTCCAAAACAAGACGATATTTGCACACATGCAAATTTTGGCTGTATTGGAATAGCATAAAAAGCGGGGTGCTAGCAGCACGACAGAACCAAAGTCATTCAGTGGACAGCATGCAATAGAGCTGGACATACAAATTGACAGACAGACAAAGAGGAAGTTGAAGTAGGCATGGCTGAGCTGGTGTCTGTTTCATAACTGCCCATTGTAACAGATGAGATAGGAAGCCATGCAATCTATTTCCCTGAGGCGACCGAAGAAGAAGAAAAAATAGCTGGCCTGCTGGCAAGCACCACACTGCACTATTTGACCCCCACTCTCAGCACCATTTTTTTCTACAGGAGTCAGAGAGGAAATCCTTATACAGTTAAGATTAAGGCAATTGATGAGAATTTGTCGCTAGTCAAAGAATAATATTATTTTCTTAGAAAAATAGTTAGATACTCACATGTATATAAAATAAAGGAGTTTTATCAATAATATCAAGGAATAAAAGATTAAGTATTTACCGATAGCCTTTTCTTTTTGAGGACTGTTGGAACTTCCATTCTTTCGGTCAAAGCTTTGTTCATGAATCAAACAGACCGGAGTCGACCTCAGTAGTTGTGGCTGTGGGTTCAGGAGGCAAACTGGCTAGTTGGTACGAACTCCTGTTTATATGTTTTTTGTACCCTCTAGAACCCAGTAGAAGTTTCTCAAGACTTCTAGAAAGTTTCATTCTATTATTATGAAATCTAAAGGGTTTGGTGAATGGGAGCTCTTTGTAAGGTAAAAAGGGCATCTAGTAGGTAGAGATTTAAGTCATCATTTTAAGCTAGGTTTTGTATTTTATAGTGTAAGTGTAAAGAGGTAGGGCAAAATGGGGCCTCGTAACACTCATGAAGGATTGAAATAAAGTTCAAATATATATATGTACATATTATTTCAGGATCATTTTCTAACTTATACAAGATAATCTTCAACCTCTCTAACCTTCTAACTTTCTGTTCTTGAATAACAAGTTGCCTCACAGGTTTCATTTTCAAGTCTTTTTCACTGCTCTTTTGACTTTCATAGGTAAAACTCCACTCTCCCGTGCTAAACATCTTATGGATTGACTCAAATCTTTTTTAATTGATCTCTTTAGAACTAAGTTGAAATGATAATACCTCTTGCTGTTGTGACCTTCTGATCCAGTTTTCCTCTCTACTATTCCCTCTTTTTTAAAATTATTCACCATTCTCTTGTTGATTCTTGAATGGACTTGAAGATGGAAGCCAGAATATGAATGTTGATACCATTACTGAAGGTGTGAATGATTTTTTCTTCTCACCATTGCTCAGTTGGGAAAACAGTGGGGCTGACACAAAACAATTTTAACCTGCTCTCTTCTTAGCTAAATAACTCAAAGGGTTTTTCATTGATTCTTATAAAAAATGGTGTCAAGATGGCTAAACATCTTATCTGAAAACCTGGAAAAAGAAACTTAATTAGTTTAGTGGTTTTTTAGATATTAAACTGTTATATTCTGTGCTAATAGGAATATATATTTGAAAATCGAGGTGGATAAAATAAGTAAAGGTTTAAAGTAAAAAAACCAGTACAATAAGAATAAAGATAACAGTTATGCACAAGGTCGGCACAAGTCAATCCAGTAGTGAGTGCTACTATTGAAAGGTTGGTAGTTCTTGCATAAGTCTGAGTGTAACTCAATGGATCCCAGCTAGTCTCTGTAGTCTGTTGACTTACAGATACTTATAGGTAGCTACTACCTATAGTGTAGTCACTCATGGGGGTGACACGTTATTCCATTACATCGTAAACATTTTGTGGGATGGACACTTATGATGCTACATGATTTGTACAATTTTGCTGTTACACCCAGTATATATGCATGTTAGCAGGATATATATATTTGTATGTATGTATGTTAGCAGGATATAAAATTATAACAAAAGAGTAGCAATAAGACAAAGTAGAAATGCTTTTTAAGGACAGTGCATTCTGCATCCATGTGTTTGGTTATTGTCTTGTGGTCAGAATGAAAGCTAAAACTGTATATATTTTGTATTAAAGCCATTAAAGTCTGAAATTCTTTTTTATATAAAATGAGGAGAAAAATTAAATTAATAAAAGAAGAGTGTCTGAAGCTATGTGAAATGTTTTGTTTCTGTTCATTGTAACCAGTCTTGAAGTTCTCACCAGTGTAAAATTACTTGCCAATTATTTTGTCAGCCCCTAACTAGCATGTGGTACTTGAAAGAATATTCTCTCAGCAAACCAAGAAAGCTAAGTATTTCAAATTATCTCTCTTTGTTTAATTTTGAAAGTATGCAAATCATATATTCCTTCAGTAAGCAATGAACTCTCTTACTTTTGTCTTAAACATTTTTGAATATTATTTTGTGTCAGATCATTTAATCTGTTGTATGAACATTTCTTCTTCATGACATCAAAACTATGGACTTATCTGATTTATTTTCCTACAATGAGCTACTTCCTGGTCATTATCATCCTTCATTAATCTTCTTGGCATGCGTAAATCAACTGAACGTTTTAACCCCAAAGTCCCACACCACTATATATTCATTGTAAGTTCAATCCCTAGGTCAGACAAAGTGTAATTGGACTCAGTGAGAACAAGGCAAGCAATAACTGAGTAGTACTAAAAAAAAAAAAAAAACTAGACAAGATATTCCTACACATGGGCAGTGGAATAAGAACAGTCTATCTCTGTAGATTAAATAAAGGGTTTACTTCAAAATTTTTCTGTAGGTTACCATGATCAATATACACCTGTTGAAGGCTAGAGAGGACAACAGCCAAAACATTGTGAAAACAAAAACCAAAGATCAGAACAATTGTCCGATTGTAAATAGTTTAAATAATATAATGATTTAATTTGTATTTATCAATACTGTGCATTTTCTTTTATTCATAAAAATATATTTACACAAGGGTAATATAGACCAAACCATATATAATGGTATATGGTGGGAACAGGTCTTGTCATAAGAACTTCCACAAAACATCCATAAACCAACCAAGATGTGGTTCTATTGATGAAATATTGAGAATAACATGGACAGAGCAAATAACAATTGAGGAAGTTTTAAAAAGAATAGAAACTACAAAGAAACTGTTGCTTGTAATTAGAAAAAGACACCTGAAATTTATGGAACCCATAATAATTATAATGTACTGAGGTAAAAAGTCGGATTGGAGATTTTAAAACGCACAGGGATCGAAAGCAAGAGAAACAAAGGAAAACAATGAGTAACGTAGTTGAGCATTTGCTCAATGTTATAATTTTATAATGAGTAATGTAGTTGAGCATTTGCTCAACTGTTTTACTCATTGCTTTGAATGGATGAACAAATACCACAAAGAAAAAAGGGGTCATAAAAGATAAATATTGTTGAATTTTTCACATTCAGAAGGGGTAGATCGCATACGTACATCGATCTGCTCATCTAAGGTTATTAAAAAAAAAGAGATCACTTCTATCTTACTTTATTATCACGCGGAACTTGTTTTACGTTTACACCGTCTAAACACACCGGTGGTCAGTCAAGCCGCTGGCATAAGGTTTACACTGTTGATGTCCACAAACAAAAAGACGGCCGTAGAAAGAAGGTAACAACAAAACTTATTTTTCTCCCCTTTCCTCTACCATTTCTAATAACAACAATAATTATGTTTAAAAGATTTATTTCTAGGTTGATTGTCCATTTTGTTTCTACGATAAGTTACACTTCTTTGTTTTAAAAAGCCTTTGTTATTTTATCTAAAATTTAATTTTAAGTTTTTAATTTTATGTTCTGATCATTTCAAATGTGAATTTATTACTTTGATGATAAAAATAAAATTATTTCGTTTAAAAACAACGAAAATTTAAATGGCGATTTTTTATTTGTTTTATTTTCTGTGAAGATGAAGGACTTACGCCATGAAAATTATTATTTGCTGACACTTTCCTTTAAAAATTAAATAATAAATATAGAATTAATAATTATCTGCCGGTAACTTAGAGTATAATTAGATAATCTCATCTTTTTTTCAATATTTTTACGCGTGGAAATTGAAAACAATATTTAGTTTCGTCGGAATCAAAATAAATTGTAAAGTTTAGTGCAAATTTATTATTTTTCAATTTTTATATCTGATGCATTCGTAAATATTTGGTAAGAAAATTTGATTTTTAATTTTATAATGAGTTACTTCCTTATTGTTTTTTTTTTTTTTACCATTTCATTACTCTTCTCTTGGAACTTACTGCTTTACAAGTAATGGATCATAGGCAAGGCGATACTTTACCGACTTAATGTTATTTTAACTTTCTTCCTATCACACACACACACACACAATGTGTTTGTATATGTTTTGCTTAAGAACTAATAATCTAATTTTATTCATTCCGTAAAAATAAAAAATAAAAAAATGACGGCATATGAAATAAAAAAAAATGTTGTTAAAGTCCTTATAATTTTCATATTCCTTCAATGAATAATTTTTATTGTTGTAAAAGTAAAACTAAAAGACAGTAACACTGTGATGACAGTTTCACGCTTCAGTGATCTTCATATCATACTGGGTGTAACAGCAAACAAAATTGTCCAAATCCTGTAACAGCATGGGATAATTGTCCATCCCACACAATGTTTATCTAAAAAAAAAACAAAAAAAAAAACACTAAACCAATTGAGTTTCTTTTTTTACAGGTTTTCAGATAAGACGTTTTAGCCATCTTGACACCATTTGTCGTAAGAATCACTGAAAATCCCTTTTTTAAAAAGTTATTCAGCTAGAAAGAGAACAGGTTAAAAAATTGTTTTGTATCAGACCCACTATGTCTTCCCAACTGAGCAATGGTGGGAGGAAAAATATCATTCAAGTCTTCAGTAATGGTACCAACATTCATTCTCTGGCTTTCGTCTTCAAAGTCCATTCAAGAACTATCAAGAGAATGGTGAATAATTTTAAAAAGAGAGGGAACAGTAGAGAGGAAAACTGGATCAGGAGGTCACAACAGGAAGAGGGATCATCATTTCAACTTAGAGCTTAATACATTCTTATTGTTCAAAGTAGAGTCCAATAGTGTTATAAAAATCTTGGAGAATTCCAGTAAGATATATTTCTAAGATACAACAGTTCAAAGCTTAATCTAATAATTGGATAATTTTGCTGTTACACCCGGTATGTTGTATATTTATTTGGGCAGCAACCTTTCTTTTATACATGATTTCATTGAATATGAGAGACAAGGAAAATTTTACAAGTTTTTATTAAGTTTTTGTAATGTTCATACAATTTTTCTTTTTTGTGGGATTAAGTTTTTATACTCTCTTATCCCCCACCCCTGAATAGGAAAACTATGAACATTTAAAAAAAATTAATAAAAGATTTTCCTTGTCTGTCATTGAATATTGCTGCCATATCTGGTCTGGTGGTCTTGCTATATCTCAGGACAAAATTCAAAGAAAGGTCTATAATTTCATCGACCCTGATCTGGCAACTTCAGTCCCTTTCCAACTGAAGTGACATAGCTTACCTCTGTTTTTTGTGTAAATATTTTTATGGTAATTGTTTTGATGTATGTACCTTGACTGCATGAATTTAAGTGTGCTACTGGATTGGCAACTAGGTGTGGTGAACAGCCCCGTAGAAGCAAGCGAGCCAGAGTGGCTTGCATCTGGTGTATAGGAAAATAAGGGTCTTACCTTAACGTGCGGCACGTGACATCAGCAAGTTTGCTTCGTGAAAATGGCATTACTCTCCCGTCCAACCATTCTAGCAGTATGTGCAGTGATGAGGGTTTCTTGTACAGTTTGGCATGCTTCCACCAATAGCAAGTCGTGTGCTGATTGGTTGAACTGGAGGAGGCAATTTGCCTGTGTAACCGAGAATAACAGTGAAGAACCCTGATTGGTTGGTGAACTGCAGTGTTGGCCTGATAAAAGAGTGCTGGAGCAGTGAAAAAGGGGACAGAAATGTCGGCTATAGGTAGTGACATATGAAGAAAGCGAGGACGGTGAATTGAACCAGCGATATTGTGATTTGTACAAGTGACATTGCAGCAATACAGACTTATTTAAACTACACTAGGTCTCACCATTTTACTGTGGAAATAGCAAGATGTAACCGTAAGTTCTATGCTAACAGTTTCTTTTTCTGCACTTCTCTCCTGTGGAACCCCCTTCTGGTTTGTTACTTCCCTGCCACCTATAATCTCCAAAATTTAAATGCACTGTCAATTGCCATCTTCTGTTTTCCTAGACAGAGAACATCACTGGAAAATATGAAAGCTTAAGGAATCAGCACATATGCTAGGCCACAGAAATCTACTAAGCTGGCTAAGCATTGAAATGAATACAATATGGGAACCAGTAAAACAGAGTGTTAGAGAAAAACAATAATAACAACAAATTGTAATATGAGCTCTGGAAAAAAAAAGTTTACTGGAATATTAGGTTTATAAGTCCTAAAAGTTCATACAAAGATGTTCACAAGAATACATGTCCCAGTGGATAAAAGTGTTGGTTAAAGTAATCCAGTGACTTGACCCAAAGAGTTGTGAGTTCAATGAACAATGACAGAGAATTAAAGGGAAATAACTGATACTGAGATATCTGGAACAGGCATGGCATGTGGAAAGAGAACAATCTACCCTGGCGGATGAAATTAAAGGGTTTGGTTCAAAATTCCAATCACCTGAAGAATGGAAACAAATGTAAAAACTGTAAATAATTACAATACCTCATCTCAGAATTAGAGACAGATCCTGAAGAAGCCCAGAGTGTGCAACAGTCGAAACGTTGTGAATATGACAACCAAGATGAGGACAATAATCCAAACAACGTAAAGACTGTAAATAATTACAATACCTAATCTCAGAAATATAAATACATTGAGGTCAACATTCTGCATTGATAATCTGTTTTATGCTTAAATGCAATCTTAAGGTCATATATATATTCAATTCACTAAGATGAAAAGGTTTAAAAGGCACTTTAATCACCAGTTCATCCACAGTTCTTACAACATTTCACCATTTTTGACAGATTTTCTTTTATCAAAATGTGGGATATTTAGTAACAAAGATGATGGAAAGAAAAAGAATCTAAAAGAATTTGGCTAGATTGTATACCCAAAACACATATATTAAAAAAAAGAAATTTTTTCTGCATTTAAAATTCCCAGTGTCTGTCATTCATGAACATCCATATAAACATAAACATAGTCGGAGGAAGTTCTAATGGACAAAAAAAAATGCCTCACACGAAAACGTTTTCCATTTTGTCATACATCTTTCCTCCAAAATTGTTATTGATATATAAAAAAATTATACATCATTATCCTATATATATATATATATATATATATATATATATATACACAGTTATCCCCTATTATTCACATTTCAGCATTCCTTGATATTTCAAAATTTGCTGATTTTTTATTTAAACGTATGTACTTGTTATTTACGGAAACCTTTAATATTCATGCGTTTTTCTGAAGAATATATGTACAGATTATTTGCTGAGAACTCCCTTAAATCATGTATTTTTTCGATAGAGTATATTTAAAATATTCTTGTATTATTTTCCTGTTATTTAAGTGACTTAAAACATATAACAGTCCATTTTTATGGTAATAATTGGCAGAATTGTACATCTTCATTGTAAAAAACAAACGCAAAATCATGTGTTGTGCTTGGACTTTGTTCTTTGTTAGGGGCTGCGGCTGGGGTCTTAAAAGTGGCTTATGCTAAATCTGGGGGGAATCATCACAGTTCTGTTTTTAGAAAATGTTTTAAACTTTATATTTTGTCTTGTTACCCATATTTTATACAGTATTTTCAATGGTTGTATCAATCTATGTGTGATTAAAAACGGTTATTGTACATATGAACGAAAATATACGCTAAGTGTATGGTCACCAATACTATTTTTCAAAAATGTTTTAAAAAGGTTCTGTAATGTTTCTAAATTGTTTAGGATGAAAGATCAAGGCATATGGGGTTTTAACAATCAAAATAGGTACTTATAAGCACTTTTACGGGGGTTACAAGTATTCGCGAATTCGAACTATTTGTGGCCAGTTCTGGTCCCTAACCCCTGCGAATATGGGAAACTCACTGTATATATGTGTATGTGTGTATTTGTAATGAAGCTTAAATAATATATCATGTTAGTCTCCAGATAATGGATGAACTATGGTAGAAATGAATGTTTTCTCATTTTCATTTCCCCATTGTTGGCATTGTTATATCCATGATATAATAACACCTTATTTCATGGACTGAACAGAATAAATGAAATTATACACAATGCTGTATACACATAAATGTGTCCCATGCAGAGAAATAATAACATGCATACAACAACAAGCAGTGTACAAGAGAACAAAAAGATAGGGTCTTACTTATAATAATTCCTAATGGGAACTTGGAATGCTGGAGATTCTCCTGTGTTTCTAGAGAAGCCATATTTAAGATTCTAGATTTGAGCATTTTGGATTTATCTGCTATATCATTAGGGAGGACATATTTCCATCAAACAAGGAAACAGTGAGTCATGGGTTTTTCTCCAAATTGAGGACTGTGAGCTGAAGATAGATTCTATATCTAGTGAAGATTTACTTCCATATGAAAATGGTGCTGTGGACTTGTAAGCTATATCATGTGGCAGCTACTTACCCAGGACAAAAGCCCGAGCAAGGCAACTGCTCAATTTGACTCCTGGAAAGTGACTGATTACTTTCATCACTAAGTGGTCATCATGTAATCCACATGACTTCATCTCAACTAAAGGGAGATAATTGCCTTTTGTATCCCTACAGTGTGTGTCTGTGGGATTATACCAATTGTTTGCCAAAGAACTGCTACATGAAACTGCCAAAAGCAGTATATAAGAAAAGAGCACAAAGTCTCTCTTTCTTTTAGCCACTAGATGCTTTAGAGATAGGACATCCTTTATTTCCCCTCTAGGGTGGGGGTCTCTTAGACACCAGTGAACCACATCATATTGAACATAATACCCTAAGCTTACTTGTCTACTTAAAGACAGACCTAATATTTCTGTGAAGAAAGACCTCTTCTGAAAATATAAGTGCTTTGTAAAAACTTTACTCACATGTACATATGAATAAGGACATACCCACTTAGGCACCTTCATTAGCCTCTTTTTCTATTCTTTCAATTTAGTTTTCTGAGGCAATAAAATATGTTGTTGTATATTCATTCTGACATCTTTTGTTCAAGAAAACTCCCATGAATACCAATTACATTACTTCACATAATTTCTATTTGATTTGATTTCTTTGTTTAACGGCATATCAATTCTTTATGGGTCATTGAATGCCGAAATCTAATTTTCTTGGGAGCTTTGAAGTAATAAAAAAATATGATGTATATTATTATGCTTTCATAATTGAGTACATGGTAGATGATACGCTGATTTTGTGGATATACATTGATGTGTGTGGACATAATTACTAGAGGCGGTGATATGTGTGTCTTATGTTGTACTTTTGTTGAAGTTATATTTTGGATAAGAGTTTTTTAAGAAATTCTAGGATATTATATGGATTAATGTCATGAAAGAGTTTTTTCATCTTGATTGGTAATTTTTTTTATATAAAAATGTATTGCTGTATTTGCATTTAAACTGTGTTATCAAACTCCCAGTTGCAATTTAGGCTAAATGTCCTTTATTCAAAGCTTAGTCTGGTTGCCATTGTTATTTTAAATGGGTTAAATCTGAAAAGAAAACTAAGTGAAGTATCAGTTGTTAAATTGTGTATACATTTCTTTGAATTCTCTTTCTCTCATATGTCTATGCATGTAAAACTTCAGATATAAATAAAATATATCTGTAAAAGGACAGTAGGAATAAAGATAAACAGAAAACTTTTCTTTGCACTTTTAAAAAGTTGCTTATAGGCTATAACACATGGGTAAAGAAAAGGTTTCTTTTGTCTTCATTCATCCATATATATATATATATATATATATATATATATATATATATAAATTGTGTGTATTTAGGCAGCAATTTTTCATTGATGCATGTTTCATTAAATAATATAGAAGAGTTTTGTCTATTTATTTTAAGTAAGTTCCTTCCATATTGTCTGATAAGCTTAATAACATTATCATTGAAAGACAAAAGGAAATCACCATATTGATACATGTTTTAATCCTATCTAAGCTTTCGGCTTACATAAGCCATTATCAAAGATGAAAATTACATTTCAATATATGGAACAATACATGAACAAAACAATAATGATAGTTTGTTTTTGTTGCATGAAAAATTTCAAAGCAACGACAAACACGTGTATATCAGATGCGGAAGTGAAAATTGCATCGCAGCTTGTGACGTCACATATAATAATCAAATCCATAAGTGGTAAGCATAATCCAAGTAGGTCTGTATTTATTTGTGGGTATGTTTATGTATGTGTATGTAGGTACATATATGTATCTGCATTGTATATATGTTTATTTACATGTTTGTATGGATGTGTATATTTGTATATGTTTTTATATGTATATATCACACACATATATATGATGTATTTTATAATTATGAAAATGAATTAGATATAATGAATTTAAGGTTCTTTATATATTACATTATTTTTCCACTCTTTTATATATATATATGACATATATAGTGGTATAACAAAACATGCCTTCTTAAAGCTAAAAAATTATTAAGAAACAAGAAAATTTGTTTGAAACAAAGCAAAGCTTTTTGAACTGCTATGTCATATCGCGATCCTCCTCTATGATTGCTGGACAATTTCTTTAAAGATGATGGAGGGATTTGAAGCAACAGAGATGTGGTTCTACAAAAGTGATGTAATGGAATAACTTGTTACCCCCATGAGTGACTACACTATAGGTATCCGTAAGTCAACAGACTACGGAGTCTAGCTGGGATCTGTTGAGTACGACTCAGACTTACATGAGAACTACTGACCTTTCAATAGTAGCACTCACTACTGGATTGACTTGTGACAATTGTGTGCATAACTGTTACCTTATTTCTTATTCTACTGGTTTTTACAATAAACCTTTACTTATTTTATCCACTGTCTTTGTTAAGTATATATTCCTATTAGCATGGAATATAACAAAAAGCAATGAGGAATTTTTAAGAAAAAGATAAAAACCAAGGCATTTTCTTAGTATCAGGAAGAGACAGTTCAAATTTCTTGGACACTTAATGAGGAAAGAGGACTTGGAGAATTTGACATTCACAAAATATACTGAGGGATAGAGGGAAACAGTGAATAACTTACCTGACAAGTTTGTGTAAATGGATGGCAGAACAGGGATTGGGAGGGTTAGTCAGGTGGTATTGAAGGATATTAAGTTGGGGGTGAACCATGATCACCCATATTTTGAAGGAACATGGCACATAAAAAAGCCCTTTTTTTTTTTTTTTTTTTTTTTAATTATGAATTGATTATTTTTATTGTAATAAAGTAAGGTTTATTTTCTCAATTATCCAGTCCTTTGATATAACCTTTACAAAGTTTCATCATTTTTTTTTCTTTTCCAGAAGGTTCAAGAAAAGATGACCTCTCCTGGGATGGTAGAGGGCTTCAATATGCCCATCAGTGTTGATCAGTTAACCAGAGTCGTGAACTCCTTGGTGGAAGTGACATCTGGAAATACTATCACTCCTTTATCAGGCAACACACTTATGTCGTCACCTACAGTTCCTGTTGTTGCTGCTGCTGCCACTGCCAGTGACAACCCTAACTCCAACGATAATTGTCTCTCTCAGGTGATCCAAACACAAGCTTCAGGAAGTAAGCACTTTGTATATTTTCTTTTGGTTAAGATTGGTCAGATCAAGGGAGGATGCTACTTGATATGTACTAGTAGATACTGATTTACTATGATATAATGAATAAATCTTTAGACATTGTTTCAATTGTCTTCCTTATCTTTGTCATAGTGATTTGAATAATGGGCTTGACCAATAGAGTCAAGCAGATTTATGCACTTTTTGAACTTCCTGAATATTTTCAGTTCAATTATGGAACTATATTAATGCTATTTGTATTTAAGAGAAAGATTAAAATAAAACATTCACATTTCTAATGAGAAAATAAAGTTTGAGTTTTAGAAACTTTGGTTTGCAGGGAAGAGACAAAATTCATGACAAGAATTTAAATTTTGCATTTAACCCATTTAGTCGTCATTTTGAAAACATAGGAATAGAGGTCTACGTCATTATTTTCTGATAAATATAAGCAAAGATATATCAAAAACTGTTATTTGGTGCCTGGCATATGGTGCCTACAGCAGATAACAATCAATGTATGAAAGGAACTGAGTACATTTTAAGTATTTTCCTAAGAATAATTTTCTAATTTACACTAACGAGAAAAAAATTTTCAAGTTCACTAAATATTATAACTCTTTGTAATATTGATGGGTGTTTCCTTCCAAACTTTTTGCTTTTGGTAGTGTGGAAAGTTAACAACTTCATTATATTATTTTCTTTTCTATTTACATATGCTAACCATTTTTGTTGTTACTGTGGCTGGAATTCTTCAAGTGATGTCATTTTTGTTATTTGGTGAAGATCTTTGTGATTTTATAGTGCCAGTCTTTAGTGTCTAATGAGGGATTGACTAAGATTTATTGAAGCCATTTTTAACCATTGATCTGACAAAATGGTTGTATAATACAAGGGCAGTTGGGGAATTTGGCCAACGAATCTCCTGTAGTTACTAATGGGATACAGGATCATGTTTTTGTAAATATATATAGCGAAGAAAACGGTGACTTACCTCATCAAACCAAGTGACAGCACGTCGCATGTATCCTACGACGGAAAAGAAAATTACCAAAAAAAATATTCTGCATGACATGCTGAAGATGGAATATTTAGATTAAAAACAAGTTTGTCGCAGGAGTCTCTATAAAAGTATTTTGTGTTGCAAAATACTTGGCGTCCTCTCCTAGTTGTTGACAAATAAAAAAAATGCTTGGCCAATAAAAGCAGTTGGTGTTCTCGAATTGAGAGGAAAAAAACGGATGTATTTTGGTTACCGCATTTGTCGGTGAGTGAGTTATTTTTCTGACTGGTTATGTGCATTGGGATTTGTGAGATAGTACCTGTGAATCGAGTTTTCAGCATTTCTTTCTGTCCCCGATATTCAAGTCTGAACTTACAGTGATTTGTTCTCTGTGTAGTGAAATTAATCTGCGACAAACATTTCCTTTGCTTTCAGAACGCTTACAATATACAATAGGTCTCTTCTCTCAGTCTTCCCTTTTTGACTGGACCCATCAATTCTTATATTGGGTTTCACTTCTTGTTTGTATTTTGCTATGCACAAAAACTGGGAAAGACTCATTACATGTTCACAAGGGATGGAAGAATGCTAAGAAATGAAAACACAAAGCTGGTTTTCAATAAATTGCTTTTTGCTTCTTAGTCAACTTTGATTTTCAAAAATTTAAATGCAATGTCAATCGTTTTTTTGGTTTTCCTTTTATTGTTCTTGCTCCATAATAATATTTTTCTTGTATTATTTCACACTCAGTAACCCTTTGTGTCTTAATGGCTTCATTGTGTTGCTTAGGGTGAAATGGTTAAAAAGAAAAAAAGGTTCAATAACTCTTTAAAAGTAAAGGATCAATTTGTCATTTATCAATATTGTAAATAGGACCTACATCTATATCAATAAAAATCTATACTTTTCAATTCTGACAAATGTAGCAGTATAAGGAAGGCCTAATGTATAAAAATTATTTCCCAAAATATTTTTCTCTATTTTTTTATGAGTGGCCCAGTCTATTTAATTAGTGTTAACATTGCTTAGTATATATATTTTGACTGGCCTGTTGCTATTGTTGACCAACTAAAATTACAGGTGGCACAGTTTTTAGGAGGCTCCTTCTCTTTTTTTCTCTTCTTTGGCTTCAGTGCAACAACACATATTTTTTTTCTTTCTCCTACAGAATATGTGGCTTTTAATTACTTCAGGGACATCAACCAAAGATGATGTTGAACGATCAATAACTTCAGTGATGAAATTCATTTCATTCTTTAAGACATTTATTAATTGTTTGTTTAAATTTTATGTTTTTTGTCTTTTTTTTTTTTTTACCTGAACTCACATGAGTCTACAAAATTTTGTTTGCAATACAACTAATACCAGAAGTCATAAAACAATAATTCTTTCCATTCCACAACACTATGCAGCTCCATATATAATAAGGATCAATTTACTGTTATGATACATTCTTTCCTTCACCTTAAAGCTATTTTCAGTTTTTGCCACATTAGCCTGTATATTGGCTCATACTTCACAGGAAAAAAATATCTGTTTGCTTCTTACATCGATAAGTCTTTGCTGACCAATGTCTTGTCAATGGTTGGTAATTTTTTCCTCTTTGGCCTCTGTGGATAGGTACTCACCACAAATGAACATGATCCCCATAATAGCTGTACTATTTAGGAAATGCTCTGACCTAGTTCTCTGGTCATAAACATTTGGCCTTTATCAAACTCAGTAAACTATCTCTTGGCAGTCAACACACCAAAAAGAAGTACTCATGGCTAGCTTATCTGACATATGCAGTTGTTATGAGACAGTAACTGTTATTCTTGCCACAATTTACTGGCCATTTTGTTTGAGTTCATTAGTGTATCATCAAGTTTACATGTTGATATGAAACATATCTATGATGAACTGAACTGGTTGCTATATTAACTATCAACTTATATTTGTTATTTTCTGTAGAAAAAAGACCTCTTTCTCTTTCCTTATGGATTATATGTTTGAAGAAGGCTGTAGAATGGATGAGCAGAAATGTTGTAGTTACAACATTATCATTAGTACAGAAAATGAGTTCAGTTGTCTGAACAAATTTTGGAATGTTAATGGTTCCTTTTAAAGTTATTAACAAGATCTATATTAGATTATCAATGCATTAACTTTTTATGAGGCAAGGTGTGGTCAAGTGGTTGAAACATTTGTATTTCAACCATGAGAACTGCTGTAATTTGTCAAGGAGGTGACTTCTTAATAATATCCCAGCATGTAACACTGTTGTAAAATGTCGGAAAATGATAGCAAAGGGTTAGGATAAAGTTGATAGATCTGGCATCTATTGATGGTTGTCCAACACAGTCACAAAACTTTTTGAATTTAAGCACAGTACTAGACTGGCATCAAGATCTCATCAATTTACAGTTGAGCTGGTTAGATGTAGTACTTTTTATGCTAACAGTTTCTTTTCTCAAACTTCTCGCTTGTGAACCTCTCTTCTGGCTACATGCTTTCAAACCAACAGTAATCTCCAAAAATTTAAATGCAATGTCAATCACTATCTACTTTCCTCCTGATTACTCTTTTCTCTTCTCGTTCATTATTAATGTTTCTGTATCTAATTCTTCTACACTCAGTAACATATTGTGTTTTAGTGGCTTTACTGCCTTGCATGGGGTGAAATTGATTCAGAAATGGTTTCAGTATACTGTTCAACTCCTGATCTCAACAGATTGTGCACTCTCTCCCAGAAACTATAACTAAGGGCTGCTCTGCATCATTACAGTGTAAACTAAAGGTTGACTCTGTGGGTGTTGAAGAAAAATGTGCCTGAGAAGATGTCTGCAACAGGGATCAGCTAGAAAATGAATATCAAATCATATTATATTAACCTTATTATTTTGGATTTATTTTACTGTCACCATTTTTATCTTCTTTTTAACATTATAATTGTATTTCAGTTTTAGCTGGCAATAATATGTCATCTGTTCACATCCCTGTGTCTCTCACGGCCCAGACTGTCTCTATGGTTCCACTGATGCTATCCCTAAATCTTGCCAATCGATCTCTAATACCTGCTCCAGACAGAAATTCCATCGACCGAGCATTTCTTCCAACAGGTGAGAATAAAACCTTTTTTTTTTTTTTAAGCTGATCTATAAATAAAAAGATCATTTTGAGTACAGTGTGTTCCAACATTATATGCAAAAATCTATAAAGTGATGATTATATATTATTATAAAACTAATTGTCTTAATGTCCTAAAATTTTGGTCAGACATACACCGCATGTTTATGCAGAATATCCAGGATTTAGAATTGGTATGTATGAAATGGGTGTGCAGGTGGTGTAATGGATAGCTGCTCACAGTGAGAAATTGGTGAGCTGAATTCATTATATTAACTTTCATGAATTCATATATATATATATATATATATATATAGACATAAGAGTAAGACTAATCAAAACAGAATAACTGAAATTTTTAAGATCAGCGTTCCGTTTCACAATATGATCAAGTCGGCGTCACGTGGGCAATGTTGTGAAAACGTATTCCTAAAATAGAATATATTTTAAATGAAAAATGAAAAAGAATTTTATTTTAATCTAAAATTTATAAGTACATTTGTCGAGCATTAATCTTGCTAGAAAAGGGGAAATATTAAAGAAGCCGGGTCTAGTATTCACCGTGCGTGAGATAGATATTATGCCTGCTTCATAAATCCGTCTAAGATTTTTATTATGAATATATTTTAAAATCTTCACAGAATCAAAATTGAAATTATGATCAGATTTAGTTATGTGTACAAATAAAGCATTGTTTAAATTACCGAGGCGAATATCTCGTTTATGTTCGAAAACACGAGATTTTACGGACCTACATGTTTCACCCACATATTTTAAGTCACAGTTGTTGCATGAGATTTGGTAGATGCAAGCATCAGATGTAATATGTTGGTTGCTGGTGTTATTTAATAAACTGCGGATAGTTCTAGTAGGTAATATTGTAGTTTTCACATCGCCCAGGTGATTGTATTGCGAAACGGAAATTTCAGTTATTCTGTTTTGATTAGTCTTACTCTTATGTCTATCGTCTTTTCATGTTGACTTGAATATCGTCTAATGTTAATTACGTTTTAATAACTATGTCCTGAAGAAGGTCTACTAGACCGAAACGTCTGACATCGACATTGAAACAACATTAAAACAGCATATTTGCATTTTTGTTTTTCCATATATTTTTCTTTATACTGTCGGATCTATATCCATATATTTGCTTATATATATAGAGAGAGAGAGAAGGAAAAATAAATATTCAATAACAAGCACTCAGGAAGGCTACAGGAGTAAGTGAAAAAATTTGTAATTTCAAAAAACATTACTCTGTTCTCACATGCCAACTAAATAAAAAACATAAAACAATACATTAGTTGAGACCCCCATAACCATATATATTCTGAAACTACATTACCCAGGAAATATGCGTCCTCTGACATATTCTCTATGAGAATTTCTCAGACACTCAGGCTGGTAAATGTTGTTAATACTGTTTATTATAAACAGAGCATTTATTTAAATATTTGTATGTATAAAAAGAACGTATAAAAATAAAAAATGTCTTAATATATATATATATATATATATACACGCACACACACACTTTTTTGTGTGTATGTATATACTTCAAAATATTGAGACTGATTTGTTTTACAACAAAATTGGATTGTTTCAGTTTTTATTTTGTTATGATGATTTGATAACTTGTGAATATCTTTACTTTCTGATAAACTGGGTAACTCTGAGAGTCTTTCTTGTTTTTGTTTTTATCTTTGTCATTTTTCTTTTGTTTCACATGATCAGGTGCTGTTAATGACAAAATCAACTCCATTGTCTATTCCTGTGCAAATTCATCCATCAGTCAACAACTTTCAGGTTTGTTTATTAGTTTCCTCTGTCACAAATAAAAGGAAAATATCTTAAAAGTCTCCATAAATTTTTTTTTTTTTTAAATTTTTGTTTAACCTAATTTTGGTTCTATTATTTTAGTTCTTCTAGTTGCAGGAATTGATGACATAGGTCTGCATAAAACATGAACTTGCATACCATGGCTGCTTAGATTACAATTACTTATATTTACTAGTGCTACTAATATGTACTTTATTTCATCATCATTTATTCAATTAATGCATTTTGTGCCAATCTAGTAACCACGCCCTTCCATCTCACAATTGTTGTTCATGGTGACATTCAAGGCAAAGTAGTGTAATGATTTTTGCTGGTTCATTTTGCACTGGGTATGTTAAGGTTACCCTGTCTGTCCACTCTATGAGGTGAATTTGTTTTTGAAGTTACCTTCTTGTGGCCTTTACCTAAAAACGCAGACAGCAAACTGGTTTGAATCCAGTGTTTCCTTCTAGACTGGTTGCCAACCATGGCTATAGGACCCAGTCTGTCCTGCTATTTTACCCATAGCTTGGTGGGGGAGAATACATGGATTCATACATTTTGCAAGGGTATTTACTTTACTAAGAACTACAAAGGATAGGAAATTGTGGAGAGCCATGATTACCCACATTATTATTTTTTTTTTAATATTTCCTCGTAAGCAAGGTGATAAAGCTACTAAGATGCAAGATCTTACTGAGCGTGAAAGAAACTGAGAAAATGTTATTGAGGACAATAAAAGAACAGGATTCAAGAAGACAGAATGTGATAATTGGCATTGCATTTAAATTTTTGAAGCTTATAGTTGTTAGGAAAGCAAGAAGATGGAAGAGAGTTCCATAGGTGAGAAGTGCAAGAGAAGAAAGTATTAGAATAGAACTTATGGTTACATGATGAGACCTAATTGCCAATCTAGTTGTACACTTAAATTCATTAGGTTGAGGTATCAAAGTGGAAAACTCACCAGAACAATTGCCATAAAAATCTTTATAGAAAAGGCACAGGGAAATTACATTAAAATTAAAATAAAAATAAAGAAAGAAATGATAAAAAAAATAAATAAGTAAAATGTTAGTAATTTTGAATATTATGATGGCTTAAATATGCTTAATATTTTAAACTATATGATAGTTTGTAACATTTGCTGAGTTTATTTTCCTAAGATTTTTTTTTATTTTGAAAAAATACCTTTTATAACTGAAAATATAAAATTGAACAATGTAAATTAAATTGTCAAATTAAAATGCTTTTTAAATTTTAAATGTTGTCATGTTATAACATTTTCAGAACAAGTTTGAGATTGGGTTGAAGTGAATAATGTTATTTTATGTTGCATATATAAAGATGATCCTTGTTGATAAATTCAATAGATTTATGTGACTGATGAGTAGGGTATCTGTGAAATTTGCAGTTGGGCAGATAAGTATTTTGAACTTTTCTTTTTCTATGAACTATGGTTTTAAGGGTCTAAATATTGTAGTTTGGGAGTTTTTTTTAATCATTTCATCTCAAGCAAGGTAATAAAGTCACTAAGGTGCAAAGGTTTACTGAGTGTGAAAGAATATGGGATAAAGAATTATTAAGGAAAGAAAACAAAGAATAAGAATTAAGAATACAGAAGATAGTGATTGACATTGCTTTTAAATTTTTGAAGATTAAAATTAAGAAGAATCTCGAAGAGAATTCCACAAGCTAGAAGTGTGAGAAAAAAGTGTTAGCATAGAACTTACAGTTACATTCAGCAATTTTAAGTGTAAAATGAGGACACCTTGCTGCCAGTCTAGTATTGTGCTTAAATTCATAAAGTCAAGGCATCAAAGAGGAAAGCTGATTAGAACAATTACTATGAAGATATTTATAGAAAAGGCACAGGGAAGCTACATTATGATGATGGGAAATGACTGAAGCTGAGATGCCAGGTCAGGACATTGCAGATTCTTCTTTGTAATTTATCATGACTCTCTAAATGCATAGCACCAGACTATATGTTATAGCAATATTCGATGCATGGACAAATGGCTCAGTACTCAACTCTATATTGCAAGATGAGTCTGCTCTGAAAAGCCAGTTGGTAGGTGTTCTATATAGCAGGCTGGGATGTTCCATTATACAACTTGAGCCAGCTTATCCCCTGGGTTCTGATTGGTTGTTGATTTTGGTGTGGACACTGTTATCAGTAAATATCCATCATTAGACTGCTTTGTGTCCTTGAGTACAGGGGTGTCTGTATTACGTCACAGCCTGCTTTCTTTTGTCTGCCAAACTGGACTCTAGTTTGGAACTTTTTGCGAAGATGAGTATCATTTTGATTCTACATAAATGTGTAAGATAGATTCTGTTTACATTATTCGGACTATTGTCTTCATCTTTGCTGCATAGTAGATAAAGGCATTGGACAGTGACAGGAACCAAAAGATTTGTGAGTTCAGTACCTGGTTAAGGCAGTGGAGAACTTGGAGAGGGGAATTAACAAGAGATAACTGATAACTGACATCCATTAGGTGTGGCATATGGAACTAGAACAATGTACCCCAGCAAGCGAAATAAAGGGTTCAGTTTGACATTCCAACTATCTGAAGAAGGCCAGAGCATACATTGGCCGAAACATTGTGTTAAATATGGCAACAAAGATGAGGACAGTAGTCTGAATAATGTAAATAGTGTACATAATACCTCATCTCAGAAATATAGACAGATACCAAAAATTATATTGCATAATGTAACTTTCCTAGCAGCAGATTCAATATAATCGTTCTATTTCATGCCAGCGGAAAATGTTAGCCAGAGAAGAGGCAATGAGTTACACTCCTGAAGGTTATGCTGAACCCACATATACAGATGAATAACTTTTATTATAGAATAAATAACAGATTATTTCTCTTAACCCAAGCAAACATTCATTAAGAGCAACTTATCAACTTTTGATTTCAATGTAATTGTTTCTTTCATTTCTTTTTAGCTCCATCACCAATAACTTTCCCATCTGTATCAATGTCTGTGATGCCAAATGAAGTCGATGACTGTTCATCTCTTGCCAATATTGGCTCATTGGATTGTATACAAAACCAAGCTACGTCCCATCCTAACAACATCCAACAAGTTTCCACAGTGACATACTCATCCCCAACAGATAACCAAACATCCGCTCAAGACCCCAACTCTTCCGATGCTCTCATTACTGCTGCTGTACAGGAATCCTTACCAAATTCTTCTTTGATTGCTCCCGACCTTTCAACTCTTGCAGACCTCCGTCTTGGCATTGGGGTTGTATCCCAACCAGACACATACACATCTCTTCCAGATTCTCTGCCTCCTCTTCTGCAAGTTGCCAATCACTTTGGACAGGGTCAAACACAGAAAACTAATGTTACAACTTGTGTTGCACAACCATCAGATGACAACCAAATATTAGCCGATGCTTCAGGATCAGTTGAAGAATCCCAACCTGCAAACAGTCTTCAGCCATTATTGCATCAACGGCCAGCAGAACTTTCAAGTTCTTTAGACTCTTTAGGTTTAATAGCAGAGAAGGACAATCATAATTTGGTCAATTCTGCCATGGTTCTTGATGTTGCCAATATGTCTGGTAAGTTTTTCCAAAGTTTGTCATGCTTGTAACCTTTAGATATTTTCTGGCTTTGACAAATGACATTAATTTGGTATCTACTTTTTATTTCAAATTTTCTTCAAAACATTTAAGAAGTTTACTTTTAAATTTAGGGATTGAAGTAAGCTTTTGAAAACTTTATCCTCAATGTCAAATGAAGCATTATTATTTTTTTTGTTATTTTCTCAACATCCTCATCTTGAAGTTCAATGTTATTTAAGTTTTGACTTTGTAATGTTTGAATATATTGTAGTACATATTTTATTTACTCTGGCATCTTTAGATTAGTGTCATCAAGATTTAAGTTTGACTAAAAGTGTTTTTGAGACCAGGACATTTCTTCTGTTTTGAATTTGATTGTATGATATTATCATGAATTTTTTACTTTTCTCCTCATTTCGTAATATAATCTATACTGTTTTGCTTCATTGATTTTGTTTTCACCTTCCATGAGTATTGAATAGCATTTTTTTTCTTTGTTTGCTGTTTAATGTTTTTTCTCCTTTTTTTACTTGCATTGGTGTTATGTAGGAATAAAGTGTCACGTCTGACACTTGGGATTGAACACAGATCACCAGATAGCAAACACAGGCGATCCCATTTTGAATAAGTAGATCACATAATAGTAAATGAAATGTACATATGGGAATTAGTGTGGCATCTAATCGATCACCATTTCTAGTCTATCCTCTATTACTATATGGATCACTATTCTCTATACTATTCTCTATTAATATAGAGATTGCTTCTCTATACTATTTCTATACTGATCACTATATGGATTACTATTCAAGCAAGTACTATTAGTGCATGTGATATTCGAATGCATCTGACACCAGTATGGTTCAATGGCATTACTATAGTTGTATCTGCAATTACAAAGTCTCTACTACAACAAGCATTACAAAAGTTGCATTGAGTGTTCGTTGACATCACAAAAAATAATAATTATAATTTTTATTATACATGCTTGTTTTTTTTTCACAATTATTTCAAAATATGTAATGGCATTAAACCAGCTTGCATCTATTTATTTATTTAACATTAATTCATGAGACACAATTTTCCAGCTATAGAGAATACATTTTACAATGACACATCCACATAGCCTCTTCACTTATCAAGTAGTTGTCAAACATATGAGATATTTGTTTATAAAAACAGTTCTAATGTAGTGCAGTGTATAAATATATTTTGTGTTATGTATCAGGTCATCCCATAAGTTCTATCTGAATTTTGAATAAAGAAAACAAGTGACCAAATGTTACATTTAATTACAGATTCAATCAACAATGTATTTTCCCTGATTATCTATGACTTCCTTCCATCTATTAACAAGCTTACTAATTCCATTACTGTAAAATTCTTTTGGCTTTGATTCGAAGAACTCACAAATGTCAGTTTTAACCTCTTCCTGTGTTACAAAAGCTGTTTCTTCCAAATGATTCTGTAAGCTACGAAACAAATGGTAGTCTGAAGGAGCAAGATTGGGAGAATAAGGTGGATGAGGAATTTTTTCCCAACCAAGTTCTTCGATCTTTTGTGACGTGATTCTTGCTGTGTGGGGTCGCGCATTGTCCTGATGAAACATCACCTCTTTTCGATTCACTAGAGCAGGTCTTTTTTTTTTCCTCAAAGCTTGGTTCAAACGCTCTAATTGCTGACAGTATATTTGAGCATTAATTGTTGCATTAGGTGGTAAGAATTCAAAGTGGATTATTCCTTGGCGATCCCACCAGATTGAAAGAAGAACCTTTTGCCCATGAAGTTCCCTTCTCGGCTGTGGCTGGGGTCCTTCCCTTTACCAAGCCACTGTCTACGATGCTTAACATTTCGATAAAAGATCCATTTTTTCGTCGCCAGTCACAAGTCTATCCAAAAAAAGGTGAAACAAGTTGGCGAGAATGGAGAGAAGAGCAGATGTCAACTCGGGATTTGAGGTTGTTTTCAGACAATTCATGAGGCACCCATTTTCCAAGTTTAGGAACTTTTCCAAGTTGTTGAAGATGACGATGAACAGTTGTATGGTTTGAACTAAGAATCACTGCCAATTCCTCAACTGATAAAGCAGGATTTTCTTCAAGGGCTGCTTCAAGAAGCTTTTCATCAAACTCAACTGGACGTCCGGTTCGATCTTCATCTTCAAGGGTGAAATCTCCACCTCTGAATTTTGCAAACCATCTTCTGCAAGTTCTTTCATTCACACATTCCTCTCCATAAACTGAGTGAATGTTTCTAGCCGCTTCGGCTGCTGAGTTTCCTTTCTTGAACTCATAAAGCATTATGTGCCTCAAATGATTCTTGGGTACTTCCATGTTAGCAGGGTTTAATCAAACAAAATTTAATTTTATTGTTCTCTGAAATAAAATTTGATCAGTTTAAATGCATCTAAACATAAAAATAATGTTCAGCTCCATTAGACATTATAAAATACTCTTTAAATTTTGTTCATTTTAACAAAAAGTTAAAATTTGGACAGAACTTATGGGATGACCTGATATATATATATTTATTTAATAATTTTATATATATTATAATGTATTATAATGTTTATTATTTTTCAAATATAATATTAGTTTTTGAATATAAATATGCAAGTTTTATTTATATTCTCGGATTTATATAAGAATTTAAAATATAAAAAAAATACTGAATTTCCTATATGTAAAAAACAATAAATCAAATATATATAACTCAAGAACCCCTTGTCTAATTTTAATGAGATTTGACACTGCACTTGGCAAGGATTCAAGGTACAATATACTCTTAAATTGGTTGGGGTGTTATGTATCATTTAAGCTGCATCTTGTGAACAAACATACATACAAGATTAGAATTTTAGTCATATATATAGATATATAGATAGATATCACACATTATGAAATGGACAAATTCAGACAATTATTTTAAAACATTTTTATGTTTATACATTCATTTTTATAGATACAAATATTTAAGTAAATGCTCTGTTTTATAATAAACAGTATTAACAACATTTACCGGCCTGAAAGGACATAATTTCTATGAAAATTTCTTGGACATTCAGTCTTGAACACAGATCATTTGCTTGAGTCATGAATCAGAGCTACTGTTAGTAGATAGTGTATATTCAGAGAGAAATAATTAATTTAAACAAGTTGTGTTAAAATCAACTGATGAGAGATGTCTTGTATTTTTCCAATTCTCAAATAAGTTGTTGCACATCTGGAAGAAGATTGTGGACAACTGTCCTAACTCCATGTTTTTTTCCTAGTAATTGGTCATTATCTGGAACTAAATGTTATATAGTAGGCTAGGTTTTTTGGTTACATCCTATTATCTTTTGGAATATTATATTTCAAATTCAAATATAATAACATCATGTAATGTGGTTCTATAAAAGGATGCTGAAAATACCAATGACTGAACATGTGAGTAACAAGGAAGTTTTAAAGAAAAAAAAAAACAAAAAAAAAAACTCATTTATATTTAATCAGAAAAAAAAAGTTGAAATTTTTAGGGTTAACATAATGAGGAAAGAGGGTTTGGAAAAATTTTTTTTACAGGATATATTGAAGGCAGCTTCTTCAATAGAGGAGAAAAAAAAAATTGGGAATAAATAATGAGCTTGTGTAATATGGATGGCAGAACAAGGATTAGGAGATATAGCAAAAAGATAAAAATTTAAAAATTATTATATAAAGGACAGGAAAATTGCAGAGAAAATAATGATCATTTTCTTGAATTATAAATGAATTTAGAAGAATAAAAAAAGCTTGTTTCTGTATTTGTTTAAAAAGATAGCTAGTCCCTGTTGTAAATACCTGCTTCTTATGTGTTTTTCAGCCATTTTGCCAACATTTTTTTATATTTCAACTATTTGAGCAAGAAATTAAATGGTTTCTAGTAGAGAGCACATATTATGGCATGATTTGTAGTTGAACGAAATCAATATTTTTGAACCCTTAAGCATGATAACTTGTGAATTTATGTTAACATAATAATTGACTGTTTTCAAAAAATAAGTTTCCACCTTTTAATCTCACTCAAAAGGTCTGTGGTATTCTATCTCTTAAATTGAAAAAAAATGCCACATACTTAATTTTCACCAAGAAAATATTAAAAATTCTCCTTGCCAAAATAAATATGGTAAAAAAAATAAAAACCAGATGGCATCATGGTTTCTAATTTAAAAAAACCACTAATGCATTTTAATTACAAAATTCATTTGTAAATGTCATCTAAATAACATAATGTTTATGTGAATGGTTTTATAGAGCTCAACAATAGTTGAAATGAGTATATGAATATTTTATGTATATTTTCATTATTTTATGTGGTTAAGTTAGATGTTTTAAAAAAGGCTTGATTAACTGAGCCAAGATAATTTTTTTCTTTCCACACATTATTTTATAAAGAATTGACCAACATAGATATGTATAATAAAGTAATTTGGGTTTTCACTTATTTTAGAAAATCAGCATTGCAAAAAATAAATGCTGGAGTTTGATGTGATAAGGATTGCCACCAAAAATTAGATGCATAGCTTTCACCAATTTTTGAGCATTTAGGTTTAAAGTTCGTCTGAAAAATGTACAGAAATACCTAATTTTCCACAGGTTTTTGCTTAAAAACTAACTTCAAAATTTTACTGTTTCAAGAATAAATTCAAATAGAGTTAATAATTTTTGTATTAGATACATTGAATGAAAAATATTTTCAAACCAGAATTTTAATTATGAATCACCACAAGCAAAATATGCAATTTTTTACTGTAATCGATAATTGAAAACTTTGTAAAAGATTATGGAGAAAGCTAATCAATGAATAAATCTTAAATATTTGATTTATTTAGATTTCTAATAAATCTATCTATAAAATTTTTGTGTGTGTGTGTGTGTGTGTGTGAATGCATGGCCATTGGCATTTTTAACGGATTTGCAGCAAATTTACATGCACATGCTCCAAGAGTTAGTTTTGAAGGCCAAGACTGATTTTAA